TGACCTCACCTTTTTTCAATATTGGTTGATAATACTTTCATGACTTCATGGCTATATTTGATATTGTTGCTACTGGGATTTAACCTTACGCTCAAACATGAAATTAATCAATAAAGGAAAAGTATAACGCTCCATAAAAATAAAAATATACATTTAATAAAAAAACAAACAGATCCCTCAAGATCAATTATTTGTGTTTTGCATGCAATTTTTTAGATTAGTCATGAACACTCATAAGTTCAAGTATTACATACCTTACTCTAGATATCGTAATCAATAGCTAATTAATTTAAAAGGTTTGCAATGAAGCAAGTAATTTGAAAAGAGAATAAGACAGTTTGAAATCCTGTAGTCGACATTTTTGCTTCTTCATTTTAGGATTTGTCAAATCTTTAGTCACTTAAGTGTTTGGCTTCCAATAGCAATCCACATAGTGATCGAATAAAACCTTCTTAAAGGTAAGATTATTTTATTTATGCTAGCAAGTTTTGTTTTCAGAAAAAACTAGAAAACTAAAAATCCTAACCAAACCATATTTTTGTCCAACAAAGAAAACTTATTTTCAATTCTTATTTTTATGAATCGGCTAAGAAGTGGCTTAAGGCTTAGAGTTTCAGTTGGCTATAACAAATTTATATAGCCAAACTGAGTTATAACTCTAGATACAATATTTGTATTTTTATTCAATTAAGTCCTTGTGAACTTCATTAATTTTTTCACTTTCTTTTAGTATATTTCAATTACCTTCAACTTAATTAATTATTCTTATTTGATCTCAATCATGTCACTTAATGTGTGTAATCTATTAGGCTTCTAACATGTTGACAATAAATATAAATCATAATCAAATATTAATTTAATAATTTAGTTATATTTATAGATCATGAGCGATATCTAACAACATATCATGACTATCCAAATGTTAGAGAGTTAATTAAAGACTTTGACAAAGCCCTTCAATGGTAAGCCTCTCATTGCAATATAGTCCTTTTATCAAATATCACAAATATATGATAAAGCATGACTCAGTGTTTACTTATGACATTCCATATTAAATCTCATAATTCATGACTACCTCTATGAATTTAGGAAACTAACTTTTCTCAAATTTATAATGTTTTGGCTAAAGATTTTATACAAGTTAATCTAGAATTGAGAACAAGTGAGATACATCCCTTCGTATCACTTAGGGTAAGGAATTCTCTATTGACCACTCATCCACCTTCGCATGCTTCATGGCACATCTAAAAATATCCTATTTAGGCATTTGGTTGCCTTTAGACCTACAGAGGTGAAATCAAAGTATGTCATTTTTCATACAAGATGACTTGGTGTCTTAAGTTCAAGGATTAGTTACACGACTATCACATGAAAACATATTCCATAAACACTTGAGTGAAATACCAAATGAAGTTTTAATACTGGGTCATGTGAACTTGTTTTCTACAAGCATCCACATGCCAACCTCAACTATCCTATATACTTCAATTTATGAGATTGATTGCTTATTTCCCAAGTCAGGAGGCTTAACATGTATCAGTCTTTGAGTATTATCAATGCCCTATCTTAACAAAACAATAATCAGGAATTATTTTAGGAACATGACTTTGATGCATAAAGATCTCATAATTATAACAACTTTACAATTCTTATACAAGGCCCTTATATTCCATGGGCTTTATCCAATTTGTACTTGATAACTTCTTATTATTGTACTAACATGAAGGAAAACCTCTAACACATATAGTTATGCGATTAAGCATGCATTAAATGACAAAATATATTCCCTAATCAATTCAATTGACTTAAGGGCATATACCAATAGTTGCTTGGCTCACTTGTAAGTTAATCTGTTTTGACAGCCACTATTACAATTGCTTTTGGGTGAAATTAAGATTTTTTATGTTATACTTACACAATGCTTTACTCATTTCATTTGTTATTGTTGATTTCTTTACACTTTTGAGATGAGAAGCAATTTGTGTTAAGCTTTACTAATTGTGATACTTTATATTCTTTTTATAGATGTTTTTGCTTGACTTAATGTATCCTAAACACTAAACCTTGATAAATTAATTTTTTATTAATTATTAATTTCTCAATTAAATAATATCTAGATTAATTAATAAATTTTCATAGCCTCAAAGATATTAATTTATAAAAAAATTTTATCGTACTTTATTTTTTAATTATTACAAAACATAACAATTTAGACCCAATTATATTTTCTTAAAAAATATAAACTGTTTGCTAATTTGACTCAAGAGTTTTTGCCGCCACCCGTTTTCCACCACCTAAGATTAGCTTATTCCATGTTGTTTTTTGCAAATTATAATATGATATATATGTACTACTTAGTACCTATTTAGCTTGGCTTATTTTCATATTCTTCATCTCTTAAAGAAAAAGCTAGGTTAAACAGGATTTTTGAGAAGTTCTTAAAAAAAATGCACCTTTCTTTAAAGAGCAAAATTTTAGAAAAACGTGCTTAAAAAAAAAACTTTAGAAAGGAGCTTTCTCTGCTCTTTTTTTAAAAACATGCTAACTTTTCAAGAAATACATCTTTCTCTCAATCAACCTCCCTCTTCTCTCCCTCTTTTTGCAAATCACCCTTCTTTAACGAAAAATTATTATCTCCCTTTCCTTTACCTCTCTCTCGCCATAAAGACTACTGAAAAAAAAACTGAACACCTAACAATAGAATAGCAAAATTTAGGATTTTGCTATTCTTACAAAGATTAAAAGAAAAGAAAATCTAAAATTCAAAGTTGCATTCAGGTATTATTTAAAGATTTTCTCTTTTCTTAATAAAAAAATGTAATATTGTTACTATTATATAAGTTTGAAAGTTGTTCAATTTGTTTATGGATTTTTTTTAACATCTAAAATCGTATACAAACTTAAAACAGACTTGTTCCGTTTTAATTTATGAGATGATTAAAGACGATATAAATACCTTTTATGATAATTTTAATCAAAATTAGAATTTATATAATTTATTTTGTTAAATAGCTTACCAAACAACTTTAACTTAGTTTTTTGTAAAAATTTTATAATAGCTTTTAAGCTAAAAAAATGCTAGACCAAATAGACTCTTATTTTATTTTTTAATATTTATTTTAAATTTTTTATGTATTTAATTAATTTTACTATTATCGTTAATTTAAAGTTGTAATTCAATCAGTTGGCTGATAGACTTGTTAGAGCTGGAGTTCAACGTGCTCAGGACCTTATTAGGGTGCTCGATTAAGCACTGGTAATGGTTCATTATTGTGTGAACTGATGGTTTGTGTATGATTGCAGTGACTGCTTTACTGAATGATCAAGTGTGAGGTTTCGAGTGCTTGAATGAGTTACCTTTGGTTGGATATGGGTAATGTTGCTCTCGAGGGTTGGCTTCTGCTATTTTGGATTGTACAGTATTGTTGTTTTGAACTTTATCAAATGAGGTCACTGGTGGTTGGAATAGCTCTTTTTTTGTCTATTGAAAAGGTAAATGGGCTGTTTATGTTTTTTTTTTGTTTGGGAGGGTACTTGCAGGAATAGGATATTGGTGCCAATGGGGTTTTGAAGGTATTTAAGAAATGGCAAAATTGACTTCAAGGTGAGCTTTTAAATAGGCGTTATCTTTAAGACTTATTTCGCCTCCATCACTTGGTATGCAAAGGAGAATAATGCAAATAGCCTTAAAGATACAATGAAGCCAACGTCTAAATTCGTATTGCACTTTACTAAAGTAGACCGCTTGATACACCTGAGGATTTGTAAAGTTATTTGACTTTAGAACCTACTTTCTGCAGCAAGTAGACTATAAGAAATTTGGAAGCTTTTGTAGTTGATGGGAACTTAAGTGTTTATGTTATTAGAACACAACACTTATCTTGCTCTTGATATTTATGCTCTTGTTTTATGTTTGCTTTGATATGTCAAAATGGTTAGCAGCAAACCCTTTATATAGGCTTGTAAGTGTTTCTTCTTAAAGACACAACCCTTTCATTGAGGTATCATTTGTTTAAAAGGCTTCTTTTTATTTTTTCAAACACAATTTTTAGATATAGTTATTGTTTCAATAATCATTTTTATGAAAAGATAACTATTTATTCTATAAATTATAACCTTTGAGTTATAATTTGAAATAATAACATTTCATATCTAATTTTTGAGCTATGGTGTCTTTTCAATATGTCTCATAATTTTTGGATATCATTTTACCAAGAGACATAACTATTCACATGAAAACCTATCTATAATCCAATAGACACATTATGTCACTTTATGTGACATAGCCCTCGAGCTAAGATAGTTTTTCATTGTGTGAAATAACTTTTGATTTTGAAAATACACCAACATAGGATGTCAAGTATAGCTCTTTTTGGACATAGGCTGCTGCGATGATTGAGGATTGTTAATAACACACTTGAATCAACTTGTAATTCTTTCAGAGATGAACTGTTGGTTTTTTCTATCTCTTCTGTAGTGAATATATCATTTAACTTTCAAAAAAAATATTATTGTTAATGATCTACCAAATTAAAGAAATTAAAAACCATATTTTCTAAAGGAAGAAATTGAATACCTTACAAAAGCATATGCTGATTAGTGATTAGTATGTGATGTATCTTCTTTGTAATTGTTAATGTAATTCATTAGATTTTGTTTGGTTGATATTATTATTATTTTTTATTTTTTATTTTTTTATAGAAACAGTAAAAGTACAAAACCAAAAACAAATAATAAAAACATCAATTAAATAAATTAATCTTATATTTTTTTTAATTTTAAGTATAAAAAAGATCAATGGATGGCCATCTATCCCTCTATATGGCGAGCTAATTTACATTTCTTGTGGGAAAGAGCATTAAAAAATTGGTTTTAATTTTGACAGCCGTAGGAATGAAATGTTAATTATCCCAAGTGAAAATGAAAGGACGGAAAGGCCCCGGTGAAGGGAGGTTAAAAATGGGAAACAGCAGATCTCCTTGCGATCTCAGAAACTTTCCTTGGCAATACCCGCGTTTCCCTTGGAAAAATCCTCTCTCCCCTTTTTCCTTTGTTTTTTTTTCTCTTCTTTCTTCCCATTCATATATCCTTCAAATTTCCCTCCATTTCACTACTTCCACCAAAGCCACCCCATCACCGACGGTGTCACCCGACCGACTCTTCTCTTTTCAACACGTCTTCATCAATCACCCCCCAGATTACTCTGCTAGGGTTTTCTTCCTCAGCCATGAAAATCACTTTCATGTTTTAACTCTCAACGGTATGCTATGTTCTTCTGCTCTCACCGTCGTTAAATAACGGTATTAATTGAAGTTTAATATTTTTTCCGTTTAATTTCCTGTGAATTTTGAACCTTTAATTCGTTTAGTTATACATAAATAAAATTCAATCAAAGTTTAAGTATGATTGAATATTTTGGTGGAACTTTAGCAGAATTTGATTTTGATTTTGAGCAATGGGAAGAGTAAATTGTTATGACCCAGATAGGATTTAGTTATCTTTTAAGTACATTTTTTTTTGTTCTGCTGAAAAGAAGGGGCCGCTTCATTTGTTTTGTTAATGGGTTCTTCGCATTTTAAAGTATCAGAAAGAACTGAGGCTGCAAAGATTGGCGTTGGCTGTTTGGTTTTATGCTCTTCGAACTCTGAGCTAATTGGCTCTAAAATATGCTGTATGGGGCGGTTAGCATTATCGTTTTAAGATAATTTTCCTGTTCGATTTTGTGCTCTTCAAAAGTTGAGCTAATTGGCTCCAATGAAAAGAAGAAACTGCATATTGAAATAGGAGTTTGTTACAAAAATGAAGTTATTTCCCTGAAACATTCTTAAACATATATGACCGTGTTCTAATTTGAAATTCATTTAATTTTTCCCTTTTGCCGCTGAAAAGACATATGGAATACAGAAATAGTCAAGGAAGAAAATAATAATCATTCAGAATACTGTATAAAAAATGACTTTTTCATATAAGCTGTTAGTAGATTAATTAAACTAAGTATCTTATTTTGGTGGGATACTTCTATGGTGATTTTATATTGCTTTATTGTAAATTTAAACTCTGTTGCCGTTAGAATTGTAAAACATCTTATTCTACTGTTACCATTCCTACGAGACACTGAATATTGCATGGTTACTAAAAATTAAGTTAAATATGGTTTGCTTGTCAGTATGAACCGTGTTTCAAACCATCTTCTGTACTTTCCTTCTATTTTTCGTAAGCTTGCATAAAATTTTCTTGTCTAGGTGTTTCCTCTGAACTTGTGGACATGGAAGTTAAAGATCAAAATGAGCATAACCTAGAAAAGAAGATGCTACCACCAACAACAGGAACTTTTCAGTCTCGTGAAGAACTGCTTAAGCATGTCCGTGACTTTGCATTGACCCAAGGATATATGGTATCCATTAGGGATTCTGCAAAGGATAGGTATGTGACTGTTGCTTGTGATAGAGGTGGTGTTTATCGTAAAAGGCTCAAGAATGGTGAAAACATGCGCCAAAGAAAGAATGCTTCTCGCCTTACAAATTGTCCTTTTGAAGTTGTGGGCAAAAAGGATGATGATGTATGGACACTCACGGTTAAAAATGGAGAACACAATCATGAACCTTCAAAAGATACTTCTGACCATCCTTCTTGCCGTCGTTTTACAGAAGAGGAGGTATTGATAATAAGGGACATGAGTGCAGCTGGGAAACGGCCACGCCAGATCCTCAAGGCGTTAAGGCAAAGAAATCCAAATCTTGTATCAGATTCAAGGAATGTTTACAATGTCAAAGCTAAGATCCGTCGAGGGAGTTTATCAGGTGAGGACATTCAAGGTTTGTTGCAATATCCCTTAATAAGCATTCTGCTTTTTCAACCCTGAATTTAACTTTCTAGTACTCACATGCTCATTGAATTTAAGTTAAGCTTTCCAGTTCCACATGCCTAATCAAAATTATGAGGTCTTTTGGGAGTTTTAGTTTGGGGTTGGTGTATTTTGTAGCCAAATTAGCTTTAGCATTCCATGCACCTGCTGCCACATAGAAGCTAAGATGTGGATGTGGCAGTTTGTTTCACCTATTCCTTCACAAGGAAACGAGTTAAATCTATGTGACTGAACAATACTCACCCTGCAAAAGAAGTCTGGCATCCCCTTGCAAGTGAAAAAATATTATTTCTGAGACGAACTGCTTGTTCAAAGACGCCCTTGAAAAGTCATTTTGATTTTCTCAGTGTTAGTTTGTTAGTAAGCTTGAAGAGGAGTTCACAAAATTTACTTTCACTTTACCACCAAGTAAGGGCAACTTGATTTCTTTATTACTTATGCTGAGCTGAAAGATGGAGACATTTGGTGCTATAAAGGCTGCAAGCAATTTGAAGCTTTCTGATTGTTATATCATTCTTGGATATGAGACGTGATTTTCTTCATCTATGATTTTTTGAATTTTGATTAATGGGTTTCATCAGCCGGATCTATCATCCTTTCTCCTACTTGCAGTTGTCTTCCTTGTCATTTATTAGATATATATAAATTTGAATTGGGTTCTGCAGTAGTTCCCATCTCTTTTACAGTTCTGTTCCATCTGCAGCTTATCAAATGCAACAACAATCTGACTACTAGGGTATACCAGTGCAGGGTTGTTTATTCTGTTATTCATCATACATTACCAACTGCACTTTGATTGATACAGAAAAAGTAGATAGAAGTTTTTTATCAATCTCTAGAGTCAATGACAAGGTGGGGTGAGGTACACAACTTTTATTAAGGCGACTTTTGGATATGGGTTTTTATTGAAGTAATGAACTGCCCATTTCACTATGCTGTCAATACCATCCATTTTGTTGAGGCAAAATTTTTTTCTGCTTTCAAAGCACTGTTAAGGATGTGTTTTTTAATGGTGACAGCATTGTGGAAGCAAATCATAGATCCAAATGAAACTCTAGCAAAATGAGTACCGTCTCCTCAGTATATGGAGCATAAGATTAAGCTCTAGGTGTGAAATTGATCGAATGTTGTTCTATAAAGAAATCCAGATCTTGACCTGCTGATGGAATGTTACGGCAGTTCTCATAGCGACAATAGATGGAAGGTCACCACGGACCTCAAGACCTTTTGCTAAGAAAATTAGTACATGGGCTGGTCCTAGGCTTCTTCTTATTAGTCCAAACATAGTAGTAATTCGCTCATAGGCTAAACTGCCTCATAAAATTGGGCTTTAGGCCCGTATTTGTCTACATTTATTGGAGACAGCCAGAAGGGCGTTGGTGATGCACTTGCCGATACATTAAAACGTGTTGCATGCAATGCGTCGTCAAAAGTCAAAACGTCGGTATATTAATTGGGAGGGAAAGGAAAGGGCTATAGAAAACGTTGTTTTGCTTCTCTAAACATCCCCCCTAGTTTAAATCCCAAAGAAGCGTAAGGCACCATGAATTTATTACCCCTTTCTGACTCTCTGTTCTTTTCTTCTTCATTCTTTTGTAAAAAAAAAAAGCTACATATTTGACCCTACTAATTAAACCTCCAGTTTCTTTAGAAGGCAAGAAAGCGGAGGCGTCGTGTTCATCATCGATGGAGACGATGAACACCAATGGTGTTGCAGCGACAGTGACACAGACTCAGCCAATGGTCCATAATAGTTTTGCAATGTCACAGGCGTACGTGGAGAGCAAAGAAGTGACTGAGACAAAAGCTTTAGTGGCAGAGCTGTGCCAACATTTCTATCCGCTTGGTTGGCTATCGGGTACTGGGGGGAGCATCACTATTAGGGTGCATGACGGCTCCATTCCTAGACAGCATCAGCTCATTGTCATGTCTCCTTCTGGTAAGTGTTTTTTTTTCTTACGTAAATAACAGTGTGTTGATGCTTTATCAAGTTCATGTTTTGGCTTCTGTACTGGCATGGCATTAATGTATGAATTGCATGCTTTCATGTTGTTGAAGTGACGTTTCACTTTTTGTGGGTTAGGTGTTCAGAAGGAGAGAATGGTAGCGGACGGTATGTATGTGTTATCTTCAGATGGGTTTATAATGTCAACACCTTCTTTGAAGCTGTATCCCTATCAACCTCCAAAGTGCACCGACTGTGCTCCTCTCTTCATGAAGGTGCTTGTTATTATTGGAATTTTTTTATGGTTTAGTATTTGTTTAAGTATTTGTGTTATTCATATCATCTAAATTCTGTTTCAACAGTCTTTCTTCCTTTGAATGTTGATGTGGATTCTGTTATTATCTTTTCAAGCAAGAAGTGAATTCATAGTCTTGTTTTTTAGACCACTTAAACGTTTGATTTGGCTGGCTCCAGAAGTTGTAATCAAGGTAGTTGATGTCCCAACTCCAAAGCACGTTTTGTGGCCCAAATGAAACCTTTGAATAAAAAAGTTTGATCATCAGTTGATGTTGTGTGGTTGGAGATAAAAAACAACCATGAATATGTGGCAGGGTGATATATTTTTGCGTTTACCTGTCTAATTTACTTTTGCCTATGAAGGTATAAAATATATATTTTTTGATCTCCAGGTTTATGAAATCTGTAATGCTGGGGCTGTTATCCACAGTCATGGACTGGAGGCTTGTCTTGTTACAATGATCAATCCTTTCTCGAAGGAGTTCCGAGTAATGTGTTAACCAATAATCCTTGAGAATTTAGGATTCAGACAAAAGAAAAAGTCAGCCCTTTGTGTTTCTATTTCTCCCTCGTTTGTGATTTTGTTTAAATGATCATTTATGCTAATTCTCTGGGCATACATTACTATTTGTACAGTGTAGTTACCCTCTCTTTTATTCATCTTTGGTGCTGGTGCAAATCAACGTTCTGAGTATAATTTCACTACATTCTTTATTGTTAGATAAGCGTATCTATAATATTAAATCTGTTGAATTCGCGAATGCTTCAATTTCTGCACAGAAGAAAATGTTGACATTTTAACTGGTGAGTTTAGAAGTCTGGTGTTGCATCAATATTGGGCCTCAACATCTATCATCTAGATAAGTGCTGTTTTATGTGCTGTAATACATCTATCTAAACTAATTTATTTTCTTCTGAAATTTTCAGATTACTCATATGGAGATGATAAAAGGAATTCAAGGCCATGGTTATCATGATGAACTTGTGGTCCCAATAATTGAGAACACTGCCCATGAAGGAGAGCTCACAGAATCTCTTACAGAAGCGGTATAATCCAACAGTAACTAACTTTGTAGTGAAAATCTCGTGGCATAGTGGCTGGTAACTAGGATTTTGCTCATATTGTTCTGAGTTCAATAGTGGGTAGACCTGTAAGGAACCAACGTGATAATTAAGAAAAAGATCATAGAATCATTATAAAAGAGTTTTTCATGGTCGATGTCTTATTTTGTTTCTAATAAATACAATACAACCTTTGTATGAATATTAGGATATTTCCCAGGATTTTTTAATTTCCTATTCATAAGCTGCTGCTATTTAGTTTGTTCCTGCCGTCGACAATCTATTGTTTGCTTACTTCTACAAAATTAACTATGCTAAATTTAGCAATAGGGAAGCCTTCTTTCCTGTTAACCCTGTAATCTTTTTATATCCTCAAGTTGGATGTAGAACTGTATGTAGTTGATCCTTTGTCCAGAAATGGAGTTGCATTGAATAATGATTTCATTATATTTTATATGCCCATATTTAAGTGACGTCTTTAGAATTTGCAAATAGATGTCTGGTTTGTTTCTGTTAGTCTTGTGGTGGAAGTCACCATTGCAACTTATAAAACCTTTTATCTTATAGATGAGAGCATATCCAAAAACAACAGCCATACTTGTTCGCAACCATGGAGTGTATATATGGGGAGATTCATGGATCAGCACCAAAACTCAGGTCATTTTTATTGAAAAGCATTTTTTCTAGTTGCCATTGTATTTTTTAGCTATGCTTGTGGAATATTATAATCTTAAAAATCTTAAGTTAAATCAAATAACATTTTCTCTAACTTTTCTTTCTTTAACAAAATAGCATATTTCTGCTTGTTGGGTTAAATGGGGACACATGGTTCTCATAATGAGCCTCAATTGTGCAAATTATATGAACACCTTATGGTTAATTTTTCACATTCAAGAAATATTTAATAATGTAATGCAGAGGATAATTAGGTCTTTATATGGTGGATGTGTGGATCCACATTTGGTATGAGATATGCATGGCCTCTTTATCTTAGTGATAGGTAAAATAACTCAAATTCTGGAAATAATGGATATCAAAGAAAAAGAGAGAATGATATTTCTTTGCTATCACTTAAATAATTTTTCGTTATTTTTTTATGCTCTGAAAAGCATCAATGAACTTCCTGATGCACGCCTAGGGTTTCTTTTTAATGTGTGGCTTCATGTACTTTCAAATTTCTACATAGTTCTGTTCTGCTATAGGTCTTCTTTAATTAGAAATTAAATGTTGTATTTGATGATATTCTATTGCACCATTCTTGTTGATCCTGTTATTGTGAATTGCACTCCACCACACTTTGACATCGAACATTGCTATTTTCTGAACCAAGTGAACTTGTAAGGTGTCCTAATACTAATATGCGTGCCTTTATCCCAGGCTGAATGCTATCATTATCTTTTTGATGCTGCTATCAAGCTTTATCAGTTGGGGCTGGACTGGTCCAGTCCAAATCATGGTCCCCTACGCAGTATAAATGGACTTTGGGGATGTTCTGGGAATTCCAGTAGGGGTCCAAAGGTTGGGACTTTTGGTCTGGATTACATGATTGAGCCTTCTCAGGTAGTTTGATCTCCATCCAAGAATAAATGTTACATTTAGAATATGTTACCATTTTCTATGCTTTCTAACACGAGTACTACTAGAATGCTGGATATGGCTATCGTTTTTAACCTCGTTCTGTTTATGGTGCAGCGTTGTCTACTCCTTACTATTGAAGGGACAGTGACCCCTATGTCATTCGTGACTGATATTCTCTTTCCCTATGCCCATGATAATGTGCAAAAACATTTAGCAATGACATATGACAGTGAAGAAACTCAGCATGATATTGACCTGCTGCGTTCCCAAGTAAGGTTCATGCTGTTATTCAGTGCTATTAGATTTTTGGTGGTCAAAAAACAATGCAATTTGTGACCGACTTTTATGGAATCGAGGTTTTATTTAGAATATGATGCACATGTTGCTGTAAGTAATATCCACCGTTATGTAGACTTGAAAGTGTACATCTAGGAGGAGAAGCTTTTACCATTTTTTTTTTTAACTTTTGAAGGATTACTATTGTTTCTCAAGGTTAATTGAGGTAAGGTGCTTTTGGTATGATCCCCCTCCTCTACCCCCTTCCACTTACTTGGTTGAGTGCTTTAAAGCTTCCACTATTAATTAGAAGGAAACTTTTTGTTGTGCATGTTGTCTATGGGTCTTCAAATTGCTATTTAAACAATTTTTTATTCTTAAATTTTAATTTAAATGTACCAAAATGCAGCTTAGCAGATAAAATGTTGTTTAATGGACCCAACTTAACTTGCAGATACAGGAGGATCTGGAACAAGGTGTTGCTGGAGCTGTGCCTATACCTCCAGATTATGTTGGGAAAGAGCTAGTGATTGCTTCCTTGGCTGCTAATGTTGAAGCTATGATTAGCACTGACAGGAAGGTCACTTCCCTAAAACAACTAGAAGTAAGCAAATTAAAGTTTACTGCAAGGGCTTGTTTTTCCCATCTGGATCTTGTTTGTAGCATATTTCTTTTTTTTTTTAATTTATTTTGCACAGGGCCATATTTGGAGAGCTGGATTTCAAAGCAATGAGTTGGTTGGTGTTGTATTTGAGGACGTACCTGAAGCTCTTGAGAAGTGGCATGCTTCAGGCACCAAGGTACATAAGAATTTGTTCACTAAATTTTTATTGATTATTAAATTTGTGTTTCCTGCAGTTTGCAACATATCTTCTATGATGAAGAGGTTTTTGAAACGTTCATTTTGCATTTCCTTCTTGCTTTAATTGCTTGTGTTATAAGGACAGGCAGCCAGATTTTTGGCCATATCCATTTTATATTTAATTGGTTTATAAATATGATAATGTGAATTCTGCACAATGCATCTGTACTTTATCTCATTGTTTTCCGTGAAATGATGTAGGTTTTTAATTTTGAGGCTATAAATTAATCATTTGATTATCAATTTGATTAACTTTGGTGTCACCTTCACTTGTTCCCTATTCTTTCTATCTCTATCTCATATATATGTCTGTTTGGTTAATATTGTCTAAGCTTGAGAGGTTTAGGTTGACTGATAGTTTTGTTTTGCTTTGATTTAAGTGCACTTGGAGATGTAACTGGCCAAGTTTATTTCATGAAAGAAGTAGATGAATTACCTTCATTTGAATTTATTACTCAAATGTTCTGACTAGCTAATTATTACTGTTACTTTTATTTAAGGTGTACATATTCGCAAATGGTAGCAGGGAAGTACAACAACTTTTGTTTGCTAACTCTAACTATGGGGACTTGAGAAAATACTTGTGTGGGTTTTTTGATACCACAGTGGGGTAAGTTCTCTTTGCTTATGTGCTTATAGAAGATAGTTGTTCTTCTAGCTGGCGAAGTTTCTTTAATCTCAACATGCAGAAACAAACAAGTCGCGCGTAGTTATTTTGAGATTTTGCAAACTGTGGGAGTTGATAGACCGGCAGACATGTTATTTGTAACAGATAGCTTTCAGGAAGCTGTGGCAGCCAGGGCTGCAGGTACTTGCTGTTTCTGATTTTTAAATTAAACTTTACTCCTTCAAATAACCTTGGTTATTACAAGTGATGTTGGCCCTAGACCACATCAAGTATGGAGTATTATTTAGCTGAATAGAATAGCTTCTCTTGCAAGGTTTTTCTCTAAAGTTTTGATATGCGAACATAATCTGAATTAGAATATAGCTCTAAGATATTATACTTGTGTTAATCAACATTTCAGGTTTGGAAGTGATAATCTCCATCCGTCCAGGAAATGGACCTCTCCCGCAGAATCATGGGTTTAGAACAATTGCATCCTTGTTGGAAATATAAGAACCATGTTCTGTTTTCTATAATCTAATGATCCATTTCATAATTTGGTGTAATGTTGTCAACTCAAGCATATTTGTTCCTGTATATAGTGTTTTGCCCCCTTTTTTTTTTGTCCTTTTTATTGGTTTTAGTCATGGTAGTTTCTGCAACCCAAGAGCAAGAAGGTATATCACTTGCATTTTCTACATGTTTGGTTTAGCCATTCACCCTCTATTCCTTGAAAAATTTTCTCCCCTCGGTTGGTTTGTTTTTGGAGGAAAGCCTCAAAACTTAGTAAAAGCTTGGAATAGGTAATATCACCTTCTCCCATGATTTTAGCTATTCCACACCCATGAGAATAAAGTTTAAATATTTTGAATTAAAATGTCTTTACTTATTTTCAAAAATTACAAATTTAAACTTATAAAATTAACATTTTAAATTATTAAATTAAAAAATTATTAATATTTTAATATTGCAATTATAATACATTTAAATTATGATTAAAATATTAATATTTTAAAAAATGAAAAATGCACATAGAGAAAAAATAAATCTTATTATAATAAGAAAGTTTAAGTTTTTTATTATATATTATAAAATATTTTGAATTTGAAATTAATTAAAAGTATTAATAGTTTTATCATAATAATATTTAAATTATTAATAAAATATTAATACTTTAAAATTTTAATGATTAAATTATAAACAAAATAGTAATATTTAAATTACAAATTATTAATATTTTAAATCAATTATAAATTATTAATATTTTAAAAATAAAATACAATAACTACGAATAATCATAGTAACATTAAAATTATAATTAAAATAACAGTATTTTATAATATTAATGATTAAATTTTAAATAAGATATTAATATTTAAATGATTAATTATTAATATTTTGAATAAAAAATAAATTATTAATATTTAAAAGATAAAATTAAACAAAAATAAATGACCATAATAACAATTAAATTATAAATAAAATATAAATTATTAATATTTTAAAAAATAAAATAAAAATAAACAATCACAATAACAATTAAATTATAAATAAAATATTAATATTTAAAGTATCAATTTTTAATATTTTAAATAAATTATAAAATTATTAATATTTAAAAATAAATAATCATAACAACATTAATTTTAAATAAAATATTAATATTTTATAATGTAATGATTAGATTATAAATAAAATATTAATATTTAAAAAATAAAATAAAATAATTATATTTATAATATTTTTATATTTTTATTTTAAAATTAATTTTACAAATCAAATACGATAATAAATTATAATAATTATTTTTATTTTATTTTATTTATCATACTAAAATGAGTAATGATTATTTTATTTTATTCTCTTAAAATAGTTATTATATTCTGTTTTTATTTATTTTGTGAATTAAAAGTAATTTTCGAATAATTATTTAATTACCACAAATTATATTGGGTCGCAATTTGGTTGACGTCATTGTTTGTGAAAATGGAAGTAACCTGATATAACAAGGAATACATTGGGAACAGACCCAGCCGTCCAATTAATGACCCAATTTAATCCACAGCATTATCCGTATAGATTTTGGAAACTTGTCAGTCTGTTGTCTTGAAGTTTGATTTACCACGTGATAGTTAATATATCTGGAAATTTGACTATGTCGCATAGCTGGGAATTGGATTGTCACTTTCCAGGAATGCTTTGCATGCAATTTTTACTTTTGCACGCCAGGGCTTCAAACCTAGATTTACTAATGTCTTGCAATGTTTTTCTTTTGGTTACAGTGGAATATTGTTGTATCAATAAATTGAACCCCACCTGCCGATAGCATTGATGAGCATCATCAATTTCAACTGCGTCGCTCAGCTTTTACCCTCGCTTTATCAAAATCATCTGCCAGCAATAACTGATGAAGCGGAAAGGCAAATTATTCAACCGCCAACATTGCTTACATATCTTAGATTGACGGTTGAATCACATGTTGGGCCGAAGAAGTTAGTCAAGAGGATTAAAATGAAAAGAAATAAAAGTTCAAAATTTTTTAATTAATAATAAATAATAAGTTTATATAATATGTAAAAAATAAAAAAAAGAATTATAATAATTTTTTAAAAAAATTATGTTCCATTATATTTTTTAAATTCAATTCATAAATTATTAACTCTATATATGTTAAATTAAACATTATTCAAGAAAGAAAATAAAAAATATATAGTAAATAAATTTTTTTTAAAATTTTGGGGATGCGACCCTCTTCCTTTCCTTGCTCACATGGGACAAAAATATAAAGCACAAGCCAAAGGGCTTCAACCATTTGTTGCTGTCTCCGCATTTAGCACAAGCAAAGAGTTATAGTTCGACATGGGAAGTGAAGCTCAATACGAGAATGCCATGGTCTTGAATGTAGAAGAAGGAGAGTATTCAGAGCCAGTCAGTCCCACTGGACAGTATTTCAACAGCTCTGCGTTGTCCATTTGCGTTCTTGGTGTTTTGGACTCCGAAATCCCTATCGATGATTCCCCAACCATGAAATTGCTCAAGGATGTCTTCCTTCCTATTAATCCTCGCTTCTCCTCCGTTATGGTATATTTATATAATATATATCCAACTTCATTTTCTCTTTATAAATTTTCCTTCTATTTATCAATTTCACCTGTCTGCGTTTACATGTGCTAGATCTCCACTTTCGACAAGCTAGTTTTGACTTGTTGTAGCTTTCAGGGGGTGCTAAGTGATAGTAACAGTCAAGTGTTTGCAGGAAACGTTTATATATGCTTATTTGTAGTATCTTGTTTTTCATTATGCTGTTTGGTTTAAGAGAGGGGGTTTTGTTGTGCATATCTCCTAGTAGTTGAGGCTTCACTTCAAGCGGAGTTTTGACCGTTTTCGGATCCTATGTCTTAATTAATAAGCCATAACCAATGTTTCTTTAAAACTTTTTAGCCTTCATTTATGGACGCTGTAGACAACTTACATGCAAGTATGCAACTCCTCCATCAATGGTGCTAATTTTTTGAACCGCTGAGAACAGGTTCAAGATGAAAATGGAGCAAAGCAGTGGAAGAAGGTTGAAGCGAAGCTGGTAGATCATGTAAACGTCCCTGTTTTCCCCCCTGGATTGTCACCAGAGTCTTATGACAACTATCTAAGCGACTATCTGTCAAAGATAGCAACGGAACAACTCCCACAAAACCGACCGCTGTGGAATATTCATATCATCAAGTACCCCACCAGCAATGCGGCTGGTAATCTGATATTCAAGCTTCATCATGCGCTTGGCGACGGCTATTCTCTCATGGGTGCTCTTCTTTCCTGTCTACAAAGAGCTGAGAATCCTTCTGTTCCCTTGACATTTCCTGCACTTAGTTTTGCCCGAAATCTTTCCGAGAACAGTAACAGCGTTTTCAGGAGATTGTGCTCAGTCTTCAATACTTTATCAGATTTTGGATGGAGCCTTTTGAAAAGCAGTTTTCTAGAAGATGATAGAACCTTGATAAGATCTGGGGATGCTGGTGTAGAGTTCAAGCCGGTTGTAATTTCAACCATGACATTCTCTCTTGATCACATCAAACAAATCAAGACTAAGCTTGGAGTGGTATGTTTCATTCTAGCTTTTAGCTCACATCACATGCACATTAAACAACTCATTAAATTGTTGGACCATCCACATCTCTCTTGTCATCGTCCATTTAATTTAAAAAGAATGTAACAATTGATGCTGATTTTTTTATATTCTCAACATTTATTAACATTTACCTATCTATTACCACATCTCTAACTGTACGGTGTCATTTGGTACATTGCATTACAATGCAATGTGATTACAGGTAATGTGATTACAAGAAAAATAATATTACAGTGTTTGGTATATAAATAAAATAATTATTAAAATACAGGTAAGATAACATTGCAGTGTTTGATTTATAAGTACTTTACTGAGAATGTAATGTTAATTTTCAAAATTACTTTTAATTATTAAAATATAAGTTATAATATATTATATTTTTATTATTAATTTTATATAATATTATTTTTTAAATAATTTTTAATGTCATATATTTTATTTTAATATATTTATATTTTATTATTAATTTTTATATAATATTATATTTTAAATATATTTTTAATGACTTTATATTTTTTTCATTATTATTATAATCTTATATATTTTATTTTTATTTTTAATATATTATATTATATATTTTGTTTTAATTTGTTTTACCTATATGTATAAATAGTTAAGTTTTTATATTTTATTTTATTTTAATTTTTATTCTTATATTATATATTTTATTTTAATGTATTTTATTTTAATTATAGCATTATAAAATACTTTTAATAAGCTAAAAAAATTGAAGGGTAAAATTATCTTTAAGAACATTACAGAGTGCAATGTAATGTGATTGCATTGGTTTTAGACTGCAATCACATTACATCTATTGACTGTAATGTGATTGCATTGCAATCTTACATTGCAGTAGTCTGTTGCAAAACAAACATTACAATATAATTTAATAAATCACATTACAAAAAATGTGTTTTACATCTTTGATAACAAACGGAGCTTACGTATTAGTTAATCTATAACAGAGGTCAATTATATAGGGAGCAAATGCATATAGGAATCTCCAATCTGCACCTTGGGAAAAAAAATCTGATACTTGACGCAATAGTTAATGGTTTGTCCCCTATCATTTATTTGATTTTGTTTTTTACTCACGATTTCATATTTGTTTTTTGGCCAACAGAAGGGAAAACAAAAGTTACCAGGCCGGCCCCTAGGAAATAGGTCTAGTATGATTGTACTAAATATATTCATCAAAATTGTCTAAAATTCTAGTAGTAAGAATTATTTTACTGGTATGGTAAATGTTAATGATTGGTTTTTACCATTGGTTTTATTGGATAGTGGCTATATTAATATAAGCTCAGATATCTAAAGTCTTTTATTTGAGCATAAATTTCATTGAGGTTTTCTTCTTACTTTTTCTTTTTGTTACTAATTAGCAGACAATAAATGATGCAATTACGGGAATAATTTTCTTTGGGACTCGATTATACATGCAAGGAACGAGCAGCGATAAGTTGAGCAATGAACACTCCACTGCGCTTGTGCTGCTCAACACTAGGACCATTG